TCCCTTCGAAACTTATTTTAAACGATTCAGCTTAATTTATTCTTGGAGTACATGTATAAATTCTTTTCAAAAATGCATTGAACAAAAAGATATAGGCACATGAAATACGAAAAGGTCCCTAGGGACCTTCTCACAAATCGAAGGGTTAACTGCATACGCAAAAAGCTTCATTAGCATTTTATCAGCTCATTAATACAAATGCAGCCATAGATGACTTCAAAGAGGGAAGCGTGAAATTGGGATTGAACTTTGTGCGCAAATGAATAAACGCAATAAAAAAAACGATAGAAAAAATAAAAATAAAAAGGTATAATTATAGGCAAAACAAAAGTTAGCCTAAAGCGATAATTACATGGATAGTTAAGTTGCATCTACGCGCATATGTATATGTATATGTAAATACATGAAAATATTATTAGAATAAGCACTCTTTTAACGAAAATTGCACTTTAGTACCAGCTGCGATCGTTCAGTTGAAACATAAAACAAAAATCTAAGTTTATTACGGGAAATTAATTTTTTATTTAAATACATTTTATTACATTCATGAAAAAAGGCATGAGTACCAAGTACCTACTCATAAAATTTTATGTGCAAAGCGTTGTGCGATTCAGTCATGTACATGAAACAATAATTTAATTTCATTTTGTCGGGACCCGTACACGACTTTTTCATAACCACTTCGGGCAGACTAATTTATGACTAATTTCGTTACTGGTTTCGAACTACCCCGCAATGATCCCGAACTAGTCCCAAATTTGTACTGAACTAGTTCTGAAAAAGTCGCGAGCTTGTCCCAAATTATCTCTTGCAAGTCTTGAAACGGTCTCCAACAAGTCTCGAATGGATCATCCCTAACTAGTCCCAAAATTATCGCAAACTAATCCTTAAGTTGTCCTGAACTAGGCCAAAATTGTTTCCGAACTAATGCTGGTATGTTGCTGAAATAGCTCTGAGCTAGCCTCAAAAAAGTCCAGCACAAGTTTTAAAATGGTCCTCAAAG